CACCGGATCAGGTAACTTGAGGATGATTTAAACCATTTTAAGCACCTCCAGCACTTTGCATTTTTTGTAATTGTTGCATCTTGACATCCATAAATATGTGACCTGAGTGATGCTCGGCTGCAGGAAGTAAACAAACAACCTGCAGTAATCACACATGGTGCGTTTAAATGCAGGCAGATTTAATGTATACTGTAAGGAGAAGGAGAAGAAGAAGAAGAAGAAGATGTGTCTTAGTGTGTAATCTAATGCAGCCGTGGAGCAAACAGACAATGTGTTATCCATTTCTCCCCGCGGAGCAGGAAGCAGTTTGTGGACGGAGGGCGACCCGGTGATGAATGTGATGGTCCGATGGCTTCGACATGTTCAGAAAAACTTCTTTCATCTCCAGACGTTCGCTTCACGTCCGCAGCAGGCAGAGAAGGAAGAGCTGCAGGTTGTGTTGAGCTGGTTTGGGCGTCCACACATGATTTTGTTTTCCCACAAAAAAACCGGGTTAACGTGCAGCACGAGGAGCTCTGATGGAGCGAATAATGTTCATGTGACTGATGATTTACTGCAGCTTGTCTCTTCCCATGCAGAGCTCTCGTATTAATTTATGACTCTTCCATGTTAACGTCAGCCTGGATCTTGTTTTTATGGGGAAAGATAACATGAGAATTAGATTTTTTGAGTTGGACTTAACCAAACAAACTCGTCGCTGTGGTTTAAACAGACATTTAACGTACGCTGGCTGATGATTTAACGTCTAATGTTTGAGCAGTTTCCATAATTTGAGCCCCGGTGATGGTGTTTGACTTGATGTGGATGTTTGATTAAACATTTCACATCTGGATCAGCGTGCTCGGCTGATCTCCAGCTGCTCGCAGCACCACATACACTGTCTGCAGTAGATCTGAAGCAGTGATTTAGGAGTGACGTCCGTCTGAAGGCCCACAATCTGTTCCCGAGTGAGGCAGGAAAAACGAGATCCGATGCCTCTCAGGTTACTGGTTTATAAATAAGTTCTTATATAAAGAAAAATCAAGAGGCTGAGTGCTGATTCCACATGTGGTCGGTCCGGGGAACGCTCAAGTGCTTTTCAGAGAACGCGACCGATGACGACTTGTGTGGGAGTTAAATCACAACATGAGCTGATTGTCTTGAGTTTTCATTCATTTTTATTTTACAGGGACGATGCA